TATAGTTCACTGCATCCAGGAGAAAAAAAAAATTAGGGTTGGAGAGATGGCTCAGTGGTTAAGAGCACTGGCTGCTATTCCAAAGGATCAATTTCCAGCACCCACAGGACAGCTCACAACTGTCTTTAACTCCTGTTACAGGGTATCCAACACCCTTACACCGACATACATGCAGTCAAAACATCAATCAATTTACATAAAATAAAACGAAAAAGTGCCTGGGATCTCGGGTGAGGGTCTAATGGCTCTCTTTCCACCATCTTCACCCAGAAGGGACCATCAACAGGCTCAACCTTGAAGGTGTTGCAGTCACTGCTGTTCTGATGAAGATGATAATTAAGAGATTTTGCCCTTGGAAGTTCAATTCTACAACACAGATTATGATAAAATGATCTTGCTACTATTGAATCCAGGAGTGGGCCAGTTCCACCAAACTCAAGCAGGAAAGAGCAGCTGGGGGAGTGACCACAGTGTCTATTTCATCAAGGCCACTAACTGTGACCCACAAGTCTATCAGCTCATCACTTATGTGACCTGATTTTTTTTTTTTTTGAGTCAAGATTTATCCATGTAGCCCTGGCGTATATACACCAGCTCTGGCTTCAAACTCACACAGAAAACTGTCTGCTTCTTCTTCCCAGAAGCTGGAATTAAAGGCAGGTGCCAGCCCCACCTGTCTTGCCTCCTTAAACTGGAAACTGTTAACAGCTTGTTAAGTGTCCTATCCTATGGCCTACTCTCCCCCACCTCAATTACATAAAATTCTGAAGTCCCCTTGTTTATTCTAAAAATATAATTGTATTCGGGAGTGTGCTTTCTTACTGAGTGCATCAGGTTCTCCTCCCACTCAGCAGAGATATGAATCAAGAGCCCACAGACTGGGCTCTTAGTTCCAGCATTTGGGAGGCAGAAGCAGGGGGATCTCTGAGTTAGAGGCCAGCCTGCTCTACAAAGTGAGTGAGCCCAGAACAGCCAGGGCTACATAGAGAAACCCTGTCTTGAAAAACAACAAAAGAGCCGGGCGGTGGTGGCGCACGCCTTTAACCCCAGCACTTGGGAGGCAGAGGCAGGTGGATTTCTGAGTTCAAGGCCAGCCTGGTCTACCGAGTGAGTTCCAGGACAGCCAGGGCTACACAGAGAAACCCTGCCTCGAAAAACAAAAACAAACAAACAAACACTAAGTAGGAGAAAAAAAAAAAAGAAAAACAACAAAAGAATTGCATTGATTTGTACACATGGCATACTTCCATATACGCAGGTAATTTTGTTTGTTTGTTTGTTTGTTTACAAAGAACGGCATAGTAGTCTATAGGATGGCACTACAGTTTGGAGGTTTGATGTCCCCAGATTCATGTTCTGGGGTTTTGATTGCTGACTGATGAGTTTGGGAGCAAATGACTGGGCCCTGACCAAATGGTAGAATAGATTTAATGTGGGATTTTCAAACATGTATATCATTATGTTTTAGTCTTTAATTTTTTTTTTAATTTATGTGCATGGGTGGAAGTCACCAGAACAGTGTCAGATCTCATGGAGGAGTTACAGTTGGTTGTGAACTGCCTACCAAGGGTTGCCCCTTCCTCTCTGCAGAAAGCTTTCCCTTCTGCTTTCAAGGCATATACATTCTATGCCCTTTCCTTCCTCTTTAGACCCTTTCTTCCCATTCCAATTCTATTTTGTTGTTGTTGTTGTTTGTTTTTTTCAAGAAAGGGTTTCTCCGTTTAGCCCTGGCTGTCCTGGAACTCACTCTGTAGACCTGGCTGGGCTCGAACTCAGAAATCCGCCTGCCTCTGCCTCCCAAGTGCTGGGATTAAAGGCGCGCAGCCATGGCTCTCGCACTTTAACATTTTATTTTAGTTTTTTGGGATAGAATCACACTATGTAGTCTTGGCAAGTCTGGAACTCACTATATAGACCAAGCTAGCCTCCAACTCAGATCTGCCTGCTTCTGCCTCCTAAGCACTAGATCAGATTAAGGGTCTGTTTCACACTGACTGGCCATATTTGACTTTTTTTTTTTTTAAATTGAAAGAGATTACTTTCTCACACAATATGTCTATCCTATTACAATCCCCCCACCCCCGCTCCTCCCAGGTTGACCCCACCTCTCTTGACCTCTGGCTCCACTCCATTTCTGTCTCTCATTAGAAAAGAACAGACTTCCAAGAAATAACATCCAAACATGACAAAATAAAATACATTAAGATGAAGCAAAAACATTCAAATCAAAGTTGGATATGGCAACCCTACAGGGAGAAAAGAGTCCCAAGAGCAGGCAAAGGCTTAAAGGCTTTGCTTGCGTCACCAGGTGATACCTGGAGCTTGACACACAGGCCACGCTGTCCTCAAGCTTGTGGTGATTATCCTGACTCAGCCTCCTGGGTACTGTGCACGCACATGCCAAACTAACTTGGTGTTTGGCTTCAAAAATCCCCAAGACAGGGTTTCTCTGTGTGTCCCTGGCTGTCCTGGAACCTTGACCTGTAGACCAAGCTGGCCTTGAACTCACAGAGAACCACCTGCCTCTGCCTCCTGAATGCTGGAATTAAAAGCATGCATTACCACCACCAGCTGGCTTTGCAATGTTGACAAACTATACAAACAATTTTTTACTTTCAATATAGTATTTGTTTTAGCTAGGGCTTCCATTGCTGTAAAGAGACACCATGGCCAAGGCAACTTTTATAAAAGACAACATTTAATTGGGGCTTACTGGTTCTGAGGTTCAGTCCATTATCATCATGGCTGGAAGCATGACAGTGTCCAGGTGGGCATGGCACTGGAGGAGCTGAGAGTTCTACATCTTGTTCCAAAGGCAAACAGAAGACTGACTCCCAAATGGCTAGAATGAGGGTCTCAAAGCCCAGCCCCACAGTGACACACTTCCTTCAAGGCCACGCCTCCTAATAATGCTACTCTCTGGGCCAAGGATACTCAAAGCATATTCCACTCCATGGCCCCATAGGCTTGTTCAAACATGAGTTTATGGGGGCCATACTTAGGCATAGCATAATTCGAAATACACTTGATCCAACTTCAAAAGTCCCATAGTCTAAACAGTCTCTACAATGTTAAAGTTCAAAGTTCAAAGTCTCCTCTGCTACTCATATAGCAGCTTTTCTTGGCAGATATCCCACGGCTCTCACATCTCTAACATCTTGGCATATCCAAGGCAACTTCACCTTTGCAGCTTCTTAATGCAATGTCTGGGATCTACACATGATCTTCTGGGCTTCTCCAAAGGCTTGAGTCACTTCTCTAGCTTTTCCCTCTGTAGCACTCTAGGCTGTGGTTGATTCCACTCTACTGCTGCTGCTGTTCTTGGTGGTCATCCCGTGGTACTGGCATCTCAAATATGCTGAGGTCTTCTGCTGCAACTAGGCTTTACAAATAGCCTCTCATAGACTACCTTAATGGTGCCAACCTCTTTACATGACCCCTTTAGTCCTGGGCCATCAACTGCAACTGAGGCTGCACCTCCACTAGTGGCCTTCCATGGCCTCTCACAGTGCCAAACCTCAGCTGCTCTTCATGACCCCTTCATGCCTTCAAAACCAGTACCACCTGGGTGACTCTTACACTTTACCAAGTCCAGCTGCAGCTCTGTGCTCTCAGAAAACACTTCCCAGATTTCACCTCAGTGATGCCAATATCCTAGTTCCAACTAACCATTCATTGTCTCAGTAGTCCCTTCTATTCTTGACTCTAAAGTCAGAGCCACGTGGCCAAAGCCACTGAGCTCTGCTGCTTGCTGGAACTGGAAAATCCCCCCCAACTCCCACCCCCGCCTTTTCTATTATCACTATCTTTCTGTTTTCCAATTCCTTCATTGCCTAAGCTTGGCTATCCTGAAACTTGCTCTGTAGATTGACCTTGAACTCAGAGATGTGCATGGCCCTGTCACCTGAACGCTATGCTCAAATTGTGTACCACCACACCTGGATTTAAGCTTTAGTTCACCTAGAACTCGCCTGTCTCCTGAGATTAAAATTGTGTATTACCATGTCTGGGTCAAAGCTTTTCATGGCCACTATTCCTCAAGATCTGGATCAAAGCCTATTTCCTCTATTTCTGGATTGTAGTTCATTCCAGATTAAAAGTCCAACAATCACTAGGTAATAACACCCAACACAATATAACCATCCCTTGTTCATTTTTTTTTTTTTTTGAAAACAGGGTTTCTCTGTGTAGCCCTGGCTGTCCTGGAACTCACTCTGTAGACCAGGCTAGCCTTGAACTCTCAAACTCAGAAATCCGCCAGCCTCTGCCTCCCAAGTGCTGGGATTAAAGGCATGTGCCACCACCACCCGGTCCTACCATCCCTTGTTCAACTGTAAAACTTTACAGTCTATTTGGGTGAGAGCTTGCCCCAAGGTCACCACTCCCATAATTCTATTTTATATCGTTAAACACCGGATTTAGCTTCCTTCCACTTCCTGGTGCCCCTTTACTCTATGAACCATGTGTTTTATATGTTTCCTTTCTAAGTTTGCTATGCTTCATCAAAATGCTCCTCATGAGAGTAAACCAGAGGGCAAAGTCTCTGCAGGGCTTTTTTGAACTTCTTTTGTCAATGCAATTAATCTGATTCCTTTCACCTTAGACTCAGGCAGACTCTTCAGACAAGGACACAGAAGCAGCCAGTCTTCACCAAAACATCTCAAGAACAGACTCCAGGCTAAACTCAAATTCTCTGAAACCTCTTGAGGTAACAGGCTTCCACAGTTCAGATCACCCTCGGCTCCGCCATCTTCCGTATTCTTACTAGTATGGCCTACTAAGCCCCACTTAGAACATTCCACTGCTTTTCAAAGTCCTAAGATATACATTCCTCCAAACAAAGCATGGTCAGGTCTATCACAGCAATACCCCAGTCCCTGGCACCAACTTCTGTCTTAGGGTCTCAAAGCCCACCCCCACAGTGACACACCTCCTCCAACAAGGCCACACCTCCTAATAGTGCCACTTCCTAGGACAAGCATATTCAAACCACCACAGTATTCAAAAACATTTAAGACTTTATTATAAAATATGCTTTGTTCTTCATAATTTTTCTGAATTTAAGACAGACTAGGCTACACCACGTTTCAAATAAAACTTGTATTAAATGCATTTTTGGCTTATAGTATTTTTAAAATAACATTCAACATTTGACAAATTGAAAGGAATCAGATTAGAGGGTTTCTTAAAATTCTGTGCATGGGTGTTTTGCCTGCACACATGTGTACCACATCCATGCCTAGTGCCTGCAGAGGCTTGAAGGCCCCAAATTCCCCAGGACTGGGTGTTACAGACAGTGGCTGTGAGCACCATATGGTGCTAAAATTGAATTCCTGGTTCTTGAGAAGAGCAGCCAGTGCTTTTAACTGCTGAGCCATCTCTCCAGCATTGTTTATTTGTTTGTTTGTTTTTTAACTTTATATGTTTGGCTTGCATATATGTGTACCACATGCTTGCCTAATTTTGCCTGTAGCAGTCAGAAGAGGGATCAGATCCCTTAGAACTGGAGATAGGGATAGTTTCCAATTACCTTCCCCTTCTCACGACACATACACAGAAGTATATACAAAGAAAACTGAGAAATGACAGGGACAAAAATCAAGAAGCAGGCTGGAGGGCAGAGGGAGGCAGAACCCTCCGTGAGTTGGCCCGGACCCAAGGGTGAGCTGAGACCTGCGCCAGGGACAGCCGTTGTGAGGGATTATGCTTGAGCAGCTTGGAGATGAGGTCCTGGGCCCCCGAAGGCACAGACGAGGGGAACTTCAGGTCCACCTGCAGGTGGAGAAAGGAAAGGTGTCATCTGTGTTACCCTTTCTTGGTAGTGGATGGCAGCCGGGGAAAGGAGTCATTTTTGAGAGCACGGATACAGGTAGGCTGCTGGTGCCCGTGCAGACAACACCAACAGTTCTTTTTTGTTGTTGTTTTTGGTTTTTCGAGACAGGGTTTCTCTGTGTAGCCCTGGCTGTCCTGGAACTCAGAAATCCACCTGGCTCTGCCTCCCAAGTGCTGGGACTAAAGGCATGTGCCACCATCACCTGGCTAACACCAGCAGTTCTTAGCCAGCTATAGAAAGAGAGGATGCGGAAGTAGGCAGGGCATGTGTTGGGGAGGAGTTCGGGGGAGTGGGAAGTGTCCTTAGAGGTGGATATGATGAAGGTACATTACATACATGTACGAGGTTGTCAGTGGATAAATAAAAAGTATTTACAAAGCAGGGACAGTTTTCCAGAGCCATGTACATCAACTCTGAGCATCCCCAGACCCCGGCTCCTATAGTACACAAAGCCCAAGCGGCTACCCCACCTTGACAATTCGACGATACGTCTCACTGTGGCTAGGGCTCTCGAAGGGTGGGTTCCCCACCAGCAGTTCATAGCAGAGCACCCCGATGCACCATAGGTCTACCATTTCATTATGCATGCGCCCCTCAATCATCTCTGGGGGCAGATAGTCCAGGGTGCCGCACATGGTCTTCCTCCTGGTGGGATGAGGGAAAAGGTAGAGAGTCCCAGAAGTCAGGCAGCTTCTCTTTACTTGACAGTAGGCAGCCCAGAGACCCCAGGATGCACTCTGGATGATAATGATATAACCCAAACGCCAGAGGTGGACATGTACGGTGCCAGCATGGTCACACCAGTGAATTATCTCCATCTTAATAAGTAAAACAAATCAGAGACAAGGGTAATGCTAATGTCAAAGAAAAAAACAGAAAACACTAACACTCACCAAGCATATGCTACTTAAATAAATCAGATTATATATTTTACTGGGCAATACCCTGAAGAATTAAAAAATGAAGGGGTCACCAGATACTTGCTCAGATATACACATCTAATCCTAACACTTGGTGTTTGGCTTTGTTGCTTTGAGACAGGATCTCTCTATATAGCCTTTGCTGGCCTGGAACTCACTGGCCTTGACTTCATCTGTGTTACCCTGACATTACCACTGCCTCCCTACAGCTGGATTTAACAGTCTGTGCCACAACACCTGGCTTAATCCCAACACTTGGGCAGCTGACCTAAGACTGTCAGTTCGAGGCCATCTTGGGCTGCAGGGTACTCTTGTCTAAAAACTGGGAAGAGGTTTTGAGGGCTGTAGATGAGTCAGAGAGCTAGCACAGAGCCTGGCAGAGTCAAGAACCTCGGTTCCAACCCCAATATCATAAGACCAGACCAAACCAAACCAAACCAAACCAAACCAAACCAAACCAAACCAAACCAAACCAAACCAAACCAAACCAAATAAAACGTGACATGGGTAAGCAGATATTGTAGGGTATGTCTGGAATACCAGCCACTCATGGGCCTTTAAAATAACGTAGTGAGACCATATATCCTTATAAAGAACAGGGTTTTGCGCAGGTAAACTTGTCATGGTGATACATGCCTGTAATCCTAGAATGTTCTGGGGTAGAGGCAAGGAGAATCAGAAGTTATCTTTGGCTATGTAGCGAGTTTGAAGTCATCCTGTGCTAAGACCAGACCCTGGCTCAATCAACCGATCAGCTCTCAATCAGTCGGTAGTGTGGGAGTTTTCACAACAACATGGTGAGTGAGGGCCTAATATATTTAATAATATGGAAAAAAAAATAGAAACTTCAGGGCATGAATTCTTTTTTTTTTTTTGGTTTTGTTTCGAAACTCAGAAACCCACCTGCCGCTGGGGCGGTGGTGGCGCACGACTTTAATCCCAGCACTTGAGAGGCAGAGGCAGGCGGATTTCTGAGTTTGAGGCCAGCCTGGTCTACAGAGTGAGTTCCAGGACAGCCAGGGCTACACAGAGAAACCCTGTCTCGAAAACCAAAACAAACAAACAAACAACCAAAAACCAAAAACCAAAAACCAAAAAGAAAAAAGAAACCCACCTGCCACTGCCTCCCAAGTGCTGGGATTAAAGGCATGTGCCACCACTGCTAGGCATGGCATGAATTCTTGAGTCACCTATTTCTGTAAAGATAACACTATGTCTATACTGCCCCAAATGTTTCTGAGGAGGAAGATACTGAAGACTTTTATAAAGAATGTCACAGCCTCACATCAGGGACAGGTCCCCGCTCCCCTCCACACCCCCACCCTGTCCCTCCATACCTCAGAGATGGGGCATGCACAGACCATCCAAAATCTGCAATCTTCAGCTCTCCCTGTAGACCTAACAGCAGGTTCTCCGGCTTTATGTCTCTGTGAATCACCTTCTTCTTGTGGCAGTACATCAGGGCATCTGACAGTTCCTCCATGATCTGTGAGGGGTCACACAACAGGAAATCAGGCCCCCAGCTTCCAAGGCAACAGCCCTGGTCTCATACCGGACACCAGGCCCTGACCGTGGCAGTGCGCTGCTCATCGAAGGTCCGGCTCTTCTGTAGTTCCTTGTAGAGCTCCCCCCGGGGGGCATATTCCAGGATCAGGTAGATCCTCTGTTGGTCATAGAAGTAGTTGTAGAGCTGAAGGATGTTGGGATGTCTGGGGGGGAGGGGGGGGAGGTACAAGAAGAAAAGAAGCTTCAGGCTGTACCCGGAGCCAGGACAGACTGCGGGGACTTAAGGAGGAGCTAGGTGGAGGAGACAGGGCTGGGACTTTGGAATCAGTAATGAGAGGTGATCAGGTTAGCAGAGGGAGGCACGGTCAGGGGTGAGAGCGTACTTCAGGTGCGCCTGGATTTCGATCTCTCGGCGAAGCTGGTGCTCCACGCCCTCCTTCTCAATCTGAGACTTGAAGAGGATCTTTAGCGCCACGATGAAACGGCTTTTCTTCTCCCGAGCCAAGTACACATTTCCAAATTTGCCTTTGCCCAAAGGACGCCCAATCTCAAAGTTGTCAATAGTGAAAGGCTGCCTGATTAGAAAAGTAGGGGGGTGTAGGGTGGAAGTTAGCTGGCTCAGGTTCCCGAGGCGGTTGATCTCTCACTGTCCGTGCTCCCCATCCTCCCTCTGTTTCTACCCTATCACTGTTCACGTTCCCATACCTGCTCTGGGATCCTTGCAAGGCGGTGGAGCCCTGACTCTTGCTCTCAGCTAACTTCTGGCCAGGGGCAGCTAAGGAAAGATCAGTTTTGTCAAGTCTCTCCGTTGACATTCCCAGCTCACACCCTCTCCCCCCGCTGTCCCAGGTACCTGTGGAACGGTTCATGAGGGCAAGCGCAGATGTCGTGGCAGGCTCCTTCCATAGGACTCTCTGGGGCAAGGTGTTCAGGCCAGATTGAGACTGGGGAGCAAAGGGTGACTCTGAGAGCATCCTTGTCCCCGTAACCTGGCTGCAATGTCCTACAAGCCGCATTTCAGCTACTTGTTTAAGAACCCATCCTGCCGGGTGGTGGTGGCGCACGCCTTTAACCCCAGCACTTGGGAGGCAGAGGCAGGTGGATTTCTGAGTTTGAGGCCAGCCTGGTCTACAGAGTGAGTTCCAGGACAGCCAGGGCTACACAGAGAAACCCTGTCTCGAAAAACCAAAAAATAAATAAATAATAAAACAACTTGAGAGCATCCTGGCACACATCCATAACCCTAGCACTTAGGAGGTGGAGGCTCTGGCTTAGGAGTTCAAGGCCAGCCTGAGCTAAATAAGACCTTGTTTTAACATCACCCTCCCCACAAAATAATTAAAAAGCAAAGTAAATGATAAAAACAAAAAACCAAAACACCCCAAGACAAGAGGCAAAAGACTCACTACACCACTTAACAATTCCCCTGGCCCTGGCCCACACCTCAGGCACGGCACTGTCCAGTCTGGATGGTTCTATACACATCACATCTTGACCCAGGCTTAGTAAAATCGGGAGCCTGTGAAGTTGTAACACAACTTCATCCTTTACAGGAACATTCCATAGGGATACTGATGATGGCCTCGAGGGCTGCGGGATATCTGAGCACACTGTGAATCTCAGGGACGACATAGGACAGGAGAATGTTTACACTTGGGGCACTTCACTTTCAAAGTTCTCTGAGTAATAGATATTTTCCTGTGAAAGTAATCAGGGTGAAAGTAACAAGTGCTGTCTCGTCCAGACTCCACTCTTTCCATAGTGGTGGAAGCTGGGACGAGGGAGCAGATGGACTGTCCAGGATGCTCAGGTCCCACCAACAGAGACCACAGGGTCCCATCGTGTAGCCAAGCTCATTATGGGTGTGCTGTATTACAGGTGTGCACCACCGAGCTTACTAGCTCCTTTCTTCAGCCAAGAGAAGGCCCCACTGAGCCTACAAACCTCCCTCAGTGATACGGGTACAAATTGGCATGTATGTTCGTACACCCGCGCGCATACGTATACGTACAAGTACTTACACACACACACACATACACACGTACACACGTGCACACGTGCACACACACACACACACACACACACACACAGAGCATTTCAAATCTACTTAAATTCTTACTTCCCACCGCTCATTAAGATAAATTCCAGAGCTGAAGTGTAGCTGGATGGTACATCGAAACTTGGAAACTCTGGGTTTCATACCCAGGATCATACATAAATATTTAGATCATTCCGGACCTTTTGAACCGTAACTTATATATTCTGTAATCTATTTTCTTTTGTTTTGTTTTCGAGACAGGGTTTCTCTGTGTAGTCCTGGCTGTTCTGGAACTCACTCTGTCTCGAACTCAGAAATCCGCCTGCCTCTGCCTCCCAAGTGCTGGGATTAAAGGCGTGCGCCACCACCGCCTGGCTGTAATCTATTTTCTGCGTAGTTAATTTTTTTCAGACTCGAGAGTGGAATTCACGACCCGAAAGCACAATGATGCTTGCTCAGTCCCAACTATCACTTGTATGTGACAAGCAGGCTCAGCTCTACCGAAGCCCTCAGATTCAGGTTGGCAACGTCTGCTACGGTAAGACTGCTAGGGATCAGACTGAGTTTTGCAAGCAAACTCTTGGAGCCCACACATCGGAAACGCTTAGAGTCCAGTTTGCAGGGCCCAATCTCCGACTCCATGGACTCCTCTTCCGGGGGAGGTGGGGCGGGGAATGTGGCCAGGACCTTACCGTCTTTGAGCCGTAGGACCACGGGTAGGCGTTCTCCTTCTGAGCCATTCTCCAGGGCAAAAGCGGGAGCGGAGCTGGGCAGAGAGGGAAACAACAGTGAAGGCAAGAGATGCAGAGGCAGAGTTCTCGGAGAGTGCAAGCCTGGGCGGGCGGAAGGAAGCGAATCAGCACGCAGCCAAGGTCCGGGGCTCTCCTGCACCTCTCCTTCTAGGCGGATCGGCGGGCACGTGGACCCGCCCAACGGAACTCGACCCCGTGGATCACCGCGGCCTCCGCAGTCGCCGGCGAAGCCACAGCCTACGCCGCTGGGCGCTCGCACACGGAGAACCTGCCCCGCGACTCCGCGACCCGGACACTTTCGAATCTCCCGCTCTAGGCCCATTGGCTGAACCGCCAGCCAAGCCCACTCTCATTGGCTACGATTTCTGTGACGTAGTCACTGAGCCAGAATGAAGGTGTGGCTTAAGAGGCTTCTTTTTCTAGGTTGAGACTGTGTCCCAAGGCGTGAACGCTCTTTTTTCTAGTTATAAAAAATTAAATATTTAAATTGGGGGGTGGTGGGGCGCACGCCTATAATCCCAGCACTCGGGAGGGCGAGGCATGTGGATTCATGACTTCCAGGCTAGCCTGGTCTACAGAGCGAGTTCCTGGTCAGGTAGGAAACCAGAGAAGGTGGAGTGTGTGTTGGGGGGGCGGGGGTGGGGGCCGCCAATAAGAGGCGCGTGGGGATGAAAGGGGAGCGGGATGGGAGGAGCGGAGGGAGACGTATTTAAACCAGGTTGGCTGCTGTGGAACCCTGTCTCAAAGACCCAATAATAATAATATATAAATAATAAAATATATGAAGTAAATATTAGTATGACCGAGTTCTTTCCGACGGCATTGGTTAAATTGTCTGGTTTACACGAAAATTTAAATGCTACCCTTAATATGATCTTTGAAAATACAATCTTTTTTTTAATATCTTTGGTGTATTGCCTTTACAACGCCCCATAATACTCAATTCTAGTAGATGCTCAAGTCTATGATATACACAGACATAAGACTGTGTATGACATAGTATCTGCATAGGGTTCGTAGATTAATTCCTAGATCACCTAACTACCTAATACGACAAAAATACTGTGAGACAGCAGTAAGATCTTGGTTAGGGAATATGATTCGGGGGTGGGGGGGTGTTAGGGAATACACTGCTCGATACAGATGCAATCTTCTAGATGAGATGGTTAGATGTGTAGGTTAGACAGACAGACAGACAACAGTTAGTTGAATCTGCAGGTGTAGAAATCATGAATAGGGAACTGCATTTCTGGGTTCTCTGTCCTACCTGTCTGTTTTGTATTTGGCTTTTGTTTATTCAAGACTAGATCTCTCAGGTTGGCCTTTAATTCACTAAATAGCCCAGGCTGGCCTTGAATTTCTAATTATCTCACTACACCACTGCTGAGCCCAGCTTGTTTCTCCCATTTGTATTTTCTTCTTAAGTATCCGTTTTCCTAGGAAGAGCTTTCAGCCGGTGGCGTGGTCTACATTCTTGGGCTAGGCACACTCAAAATCCACTCTCCTGCAGTTTTTGCTTATGTGTCGTTACTATTTTGTTCTTAAAAACCCTGAAAGGTTTCTAACAGTAGGTTTGTAATTCCTGCACTCTGGAGCCTGAGGCAGAAGGATTGCTAGGAGCTCCAGCCTACAGCGTGAGCCATTGACTCCAAAAAATATATAAACTAAATCTGTTTTCTAATTCTATGAGTTGGTAATTCCCGATGAATTAGCTCTTGATTTTCCTTCTATCCCCTGAGTCATGGTAGAGATGGCCTCTGCTGGCCGAGTCACACTGAAGGTGGCCACGAGGGGTATTTTCTCATTCTCACGCTAAGGGCTGACATTTCATATGGCCAGGAAGAGCATAACTATTTTGGGACTCCAAAGCTATGGTATATATAACTTCTACAACAAAGACCAGTCCACTGTATGCCACGGTCTTGGTACATGTGACAAAGTGACTGGTCTGGCATAAGACAGGGCAAGACCCAGGGGGGAGGGCGGTAAGGGGAACAATTCTAGTTGGCCAGGCGTCTGTCTTGTAGGTCGTATTCTGAGGCCCGAATTCCTCACCAGGAATCCCTGCCGCGGTAGCTGGAGGAGCAAAGAAGAGTTAGGATAGGAAGCTATCTTTCTGGGAAGATGAGGCTTGTGTGCATTTGTGTGTGGTAGGGGACATAGGTTGGGCAGCAGAGTGTGCTAGCTAGCTTGGGTTTCTTTTTCACTTCCTGCTTTTGTTTGACTTATTTGGTTTTTGGTTTTTTTCCTTTTAAAAGCAATTTGAAGGCAGCAAACATGCTAGAGTTTCCAGGCCCCCAGGGAGAAGTTGGGAGAAGTAATGTTTATATGCAATACTCGGTCTTCAACCCAAAGTTTATCAGAGATGACCAAAAGCGCTTTAAAAAATTTGGACCCACTCCATGGTGGCTCATTCACACCTGTAATCCCAGCACTTTGGAGGCAGAGGCAGGGGGGATCACTCCAAGTAAAAAAAACCAATGTGGTTTGCACAGTAAATTCCAAGTCAGGATTACAAAATAGTAAAATAAAAATAACAAAACGGAAAAACTGGACTTAAATTTTATTTTATTTTATATTTTTCAGGATTTTTAACAGTCAAATGCAGACGTCTGGTTCATTTCAATTCCTTCACTGCCAAACCAGGGAGCAGGGACTGCTTCAACCTTTCTGCCTTCTTGCCTGTGGTGACCAGGCTGTAAAGACAATGCAAACCTGGAAGGTCACAATATTCTTTGTTCTTGATCCTGTCTATCCTGTCGGATTTGGCATCCTGCTGTCCGGCTGTGAGCAGAGTCTTTGATTTCCTCAATTCCTGAGATATAGTGAAGGGGACTCAATGCTCGCAATCACACCCCAAAAACTCATGTTGACATGGACGAGATTTTAAATTTTAAATACAAGTCAGGGTGGGGATGGGGGGAGGTGAGAGGGTTGGTGGGGGTGGAGATAAGAAAGAAAAAAGTTCACTTATGCTTGAAAAAGTTTTGTATCCTTTGAAGACAGTAGGACAGCTAAGAAAAACCTTTAACCCAAAACTGAAATCCTAGGAATTCACACCACAGAGCTTACTCAATAAAGATAAAAAAATAAGTAAATAGGTATGAGCTGGGAGTGAACTCCTGTGAAGTCAGAGCTTGTGAGAGTGCAGAGCGCTGGATTAAGAGGTCAAGGTCGCCGGGCAGTGGTGGCCTTTAATCCCAGCACTTGGGAGGCAGAGGCAGGCGGATTTCTGAGTTTGAGGCCAGACTGGTCTACAGAGTGAGTTCCAGGACAGCCAGGGGTATACAGAGAAACCCTGTCTCCAAAAACCAAAAACCAAAAAAAACCTAAAAAAACAAAAAAAACCCCAAGAGGTCAGCTACTTAAGGCTCTCAGGCTAGCCTGGGCTACAGGAGAAGCTCTTGGAAAAACAAAAACCCCAACAATCCCAACAAAAACCCAGATCAACATACCAAATAAGCAAAGGGGCTATGGTGGTGGCAACATTTTAAAAAGAAAAAAATGTAGATTAGACAGTCAAAATGTCCCACTTCAGAAAAATTGCTTAATACTTTCTCTTAACTGTCATCAGATTTTTGATTGTCGCTTGAAATTTATAACGAATTATGTTTTTAGTACAGTTGTATATGCCAGAGATTCAAAACACTTTTAACCCTTGCCAGCTGTGTGAAATTTCAGCCCTTGGTAGGAAAAAAAAAGAAACAAAATTGTAGACACCAGTAAACAAGAGTTAATCAGTGCAAAATGAACAGTGGTTTGGGACAATATAAATAACTATTATTATTTTTAAAGTGATAAACTATTGCTACATTTTTTTTCCGAATAGAGAAAGTTTATTGCCGTATCACAAGTATGTTATCTAAGGAAGAGTTGTGGGGACTGTTCATTAACAATTTCTGTTATTTAAATATTGATTATATTAAAGGCACGGATATTTTGGAAGAAATCAAAAAAAGATGTAAAACTCGACACTCTCTTAGCAGCTTTGAGAACAGAAAAAGTCTCAATGTAGTGGGTAGGAGTTTTCCTTTTTTCTTTAGTAAACTATTAAAGAAAGCAGGTAAGTAGAAAATAAGTACGTTTGACCCCGACGTGATTTGAACACGCAACCTTCTGATCTGGAGTCAGACGCGCTACCGTTGCGCCACGAGGCCTCCCGGCGGCCTGCTTCTTATGGGTGTCGTGAACAGAAGCTTCAACCGCAGCGAGCGCGGATGATTTTCTTCAGGCTGGGATTCTGGCTTTGCGCTCCTGGTTCTCAGCTCCCGAGAGGCTCGCGCTCACGTGAAAAGTCAACTATAGTTAAACCATAAAATGTTTTCTTGGCGCTGGGCAGAAAGGCTAACTCTTTAATTTTGAGCTACACTTAGCTCACTCAAAGAAGCGACTTCTGTGTTTGGAACGTGTTGTTTTCTAGAGATGATGCTATTTATCTTGGTGTCTAGACTCCTAAACAGAGTTTTACATTTAATCCCAGTTGTGCTAATGACCAAAACAAAACAATCTCGGTTAGTTTCAATGGATTTTGCTTTTCTTACGTCTATTTTCATATAATTCCATAATATTGACACAGTTACATGAATTAGCAAAATAACATCAAATATTTGCAGGAAGATGCATATAAATATGATTACGGCAAAGAGGCCTCTCACCTGCGTTGGTGGTATAGTGGTGAGCATAGCTGCCTTCCAAGCAGTTGACCCGGGTTCGATTCCCGGCCAACGCAAGGATGAACTTTTGTTTTCTTTCCTTATTACTGAAATCACTGTGTCTAAAACTCCAAATTAATTTTTTCTTCCAAATCAAGGAGTCAACAGAGACATGATTGCCAACTTCACCACAACTCAGGTCATTCTTCCTGCTCCTGCCACGTGCGTGCTTTATTTTTTCTTCCGTGTATGTACCCTTACACTATCCACCCGAACCTCAAGACTCTGCGCGGGTTGCGGTGTAAATTCAGACCCAGAAACCCTGGAGACAAAGCAAAGTTTGAACCTGCCTTCTTCATTAAACAGACTACTTGCTACAGTTAGGTCTGGCCGTGTCCATTGTTTCTGCAAATCGTAGGAAAAGTAAAAGCGTACTTCTCCCCGTCGGGGAATCGAACCCCGGTCTCCCGCGTGACAGGCGGGGATACTCACCACTATACTAACGAGGAGTAAGCTAAAGCGTGGTTCCTCTAGATCCCTGATCTGGGTTCTAGTCTGAAGCTGCTTGGATTATGCGGCTTTTTCTTTCCAGATGTTTAACCTATGCCGAT